AGGGAAAGACAAAACTATTTCTGAGTGGTAGAGTATCAAAGAGATTGGACTCTGTTTTTGAAAAGACTTTAGTAACTCCAACGTCTCCAAAATATTTACCCTACTGGCCCTATCCCACCCATCAAAGTCCCCTAACGAAACAACAATTTAACCATAAAAATCTTACTTATGAGCAGATTTGGGTTTTGTACAGAAAATGGGGAGATAATCATTTTGTACCTGCAGGGATTCCAGTGAGAATATTTCTCTCACAGTAAAGGAGCCAGGAAAGTGGCATCCTACTAAATAATGAAGAGGTTATCTTGCCGTCAGCTTGAACAAAGGCTTGCAGGAAACTCTATATCACATTTCAAATTTCCTGAGTGTTTCTAAAGCTTGTCTCTGTGCACCATGCTTACTATTATTTGGACAATCAAGCCTCCACTTGGGAGTGTCATAGGCCGTCAAAGCTCTATATATTCTGGGCCAAATTCTCAACTAATGTAAATCAACACTGAAGTTTATGAGCCAGTGGTGTCTTACACAAACTGGAGGTGTGTCCCTGTAATCCTCAACAAACACCAAGTTTCAGGGCCTGATTCTAGCACTCCTTTGTTGTTTATTTTAGTGTTTGAATGCTCTTCCGTACACTCTTAGTCTGCTTTATCTATCCTGCATTAAAGCAGTGGGCGTAGTTTGCTATGCCCTGCTTCCATTCTTGGACTTATGTGAGTGCCATAGGATTGAGTTAGAAAAGTGACACTTAGCTGGTTTTTGTTTTGTTTTGTTTTGTTCAGAGACATAGAGATACTTTATAAACATTTACTAATCCTGAAAATCATCCTAACAAATGGTTGAGAGCAGTGTAGAGAATATATTCATCATCATTCCGAATCAGCCACCTCATAAAGCAGTGTTGTCACTTTAACATTGCACAGAAACTGTGGAGCGGTTTCATAAAGGACGTTAAAAAATAACATAAGTATTTGAAACTGCAAGAACAGTTTATTTTGGCACAACAAAACCAGCTGATTTGGACTGTGACCAGAATATTTGGTTAACACCCTGCTTTGAACCAGAAAGGGTCTGGTTTTATGGCTTATTGAAAGAAACTCACCTAAGCAGGGAACAATTTGACAGGGTTGACAGGTTTCCCTTTCTGCCATTATAAATCTGGAGTTCTTTACAGCTCATGTCCTTCGGTGGCAAACCAGCTACCATCTTAAAACCTTCTGTGTGGGTCAGGCAGGCAGCTTGATCCATAAATCCGTCTCACTCCCCAGCAGGTAATCATCTTTGAAAACAAATTACCAGAAGATGCCAACAAGCCCATTGAGAAAACAGACATAGAAATTTAGTGGTATGAAGTGTCCTACCTAGCCAAGCAATATTTGTACTCAAACGATGGTTATGAACCCGAAGGTCAACGTATTAGTAATTACATTTGTGTGCCAGGAGGGCTGTAGATCACATTTATGCGCTTCCTGGAAGGCTGAACTGTCTTCCAAACAGCTACAAATGCTTAAATATGAAGAGCAAAACATATCAAAAGCAATGGTATTGCTATGGATACTGAAAGGCCTTGGTGAAAAGCACTTTTAAATATGAGCTTGAAAAGGATAGTGTGGCAGGAAGTTCAGAGTGGAGTTTCATCTTTAATTTGGAAAGGCGATAGGCTCTCTCTGTTAATACCACCCTTCCCTTGCTGTTGTTTAACACCGAGCTGGCTTTTTTCGTAGCATGCTGGTGAGTTTTCATGCTTTGAATCAAGTAGTTAGGCAACATTCTGCTCCATTCTGTGTATGTAAGTCCCATTGCAGATGCAGACGGTTGTGCGTGGAGACATAGAGCGATAGTTTTCAAATTGTGCCTTGTGAGCAACTCAGTTTCTTCCTGATATTTCACAGAATTAACATTCTGAGAAGTAAGCAGTGGAGTTTGGGAAATTGTAAAGGGATATATCTACAATGCTCTGTAGGTCTGTCTTTTACAGAATGATCAACAAGATGAAGTGCTTGTGAACAGCTTAATTACAGAGTCCATGGTATAGAGTTTCCCTTCCTGTTGGACCTCTCCTGACCCATATACCTGTGTCCTCGCTACCTTAACAAAATGTCCAAAGGAAAAAATAGTTGCCAGAGTTGAAATTAAGTAGTCTGTGGGACAAGCCTCCTCAGTGTTTTTCACAGCTACAGAAAAGATGAAGCAGAAGGCGGCATGTGGATAGAGAAATCTTGCTCCTAGGCATCTGGTATTTTCCATTACTTGCTTCCTTTGTCTCGTATCCTCTGGATTTCCTGGAGGCATGGAGTGGGACCTAAAGAGAAATAACGATACTAATGGAAAGAGGAATCCACTGGTTAGAACTGGGGGACAAGACTTCCGAGCACTGTTCACTGCCTGGTTTCTGAGTCTCTAAGTCACCTGGAATGAATCACTTCTCTTCTGTGTCTCAGTTTCTTCTTCCATAAGAAAAGAACACGCTTATTTAGTTGCTCTGTCTCCAGGGACTGTTGTGATACATAATTAATCTTTCTAAATCATTTACTGGTCTTTGAAGTAAAGGGGCTGTATTTATTTAAGAGTACAAAACAGCAGAAACAGAATAAAAGAGGAAAGTAGAAAAAGAATATTAGTTAATTCCTAACAATAGACTTTCTTCCTGTGTCATCTGCTAGGACACTGCTGCATCTTTTGGCATTATATAACATGCTGCTTTTGTTCCGTGTCACAGGGATTGAGCAATGGCTGCTCAGCCAGAAGCAGCAGCCCAGACTGCAGGTCTAAAACATCCCAGACGTGAAGGTAAGAATATGACTGCTACAGAAGTGAAGAGAAATCAGGGGAGTGGTGAGCTGCCGTGTCTGAGTAATTATGCTCCGGGGAAAGAGCGTTTTTATGAGAAGGTACAGCAGAGGTGTCTGAGTCTGCAGGAGGCAAAGGTGAAGACGATTCGCGCACAAAAGACAGAAGAAGAAAAGGTAAAGAAGAGAGAACCCTGTGACTGGCTGCCCAAGGAGTGGTTCAGTGAAGAGAAAGAGACACTAGATACTCGCATCTATTTGCTTGACAAACTCCTACCTACATTAATCCCAGGAGCGGAAAAACTGTTAATGGAAGTAGAAAGAAAGAATGTGCTTGCACCAGACAAAGAACCAACCAGATTTAACCCCCTTAATTTCCTTGGAGAATATCTGATCAGACATAACCCTCAGTATGGTGTTTCTACAAAACCAGGGCCGTACCTGAGAGGAATGAAGATGGTCACGGAGGAGCTAAAAACTGAGATGCCAGGTACAGCGTCAGAGAGGTGAGAGAGTTGAAAGTGTGGCTGGTCACAAGGCCAGAACTGGTGTCTTGGTCTCTGATTTACAAAGGGAATGGTGACTGCAGCCTGGCTGGCAAAGTGTCGAACAAAATGAACCTTGTGGGATACAGTGCCAGAGATGGTAGTTGTTTCTCATAAAAACCTGAGAAGCAAGACAAATGCCAGAGGATGTCACACAAAATGAAACACTAGTTACTCCTGTTTAAGGCAATATTCTGCCCTTCACAAGAATATAATTCCTCTTTAGACTCTGTCTTAATTACAAAAGCAAACTGCTTTCAAACCGGTCTAGGCTAGTGACAGCAGTTCTTTAGGACAGGCGTTAGTATCAAAGGTCTATGGACCACAGACCATTTCTTCTATATTGTTCCAAACTTAATAAAAAGATAACCCTTTTTACCTCCTTCAGGATGATTTCTCTTGGCCAAACCAACAACAATTATAGTCCTGGCACATTGTAGAAACTCGTTCTCCTGGGATTTTTACTTAGGCTTTCCTTTCAAATTCTTTTTTCCTTTTAAAGTAGAAACTGTTTTTTATTTTATTATATTGCTTATTTGTGGGGTGTATTTAGGCCGCTTACTTTAATATAATATTTAATGAATATTGGAAGGGGGTTTCATGGCATCTTACAAGATGATAAGGTTAAAATGTGAGTGCATTAGGTGAACAATAATGCTTTCATTTTAATTGCTTTATTCAGAAAATTATAGAAGTGAACATTAGTGTTTATAGCTGACCCAGGGGTGATTGTGAATGATGTCAAAATTACTCATTCACTACTACTAGATCACTTTATTCTATATCTGTGTTTGTAGAATAGTGACGTCTATTTGAACGGCTGTCTCTTCTATTTGCATAAGTAGTACATACAGCTTGAAAATTGGTTTTAGGGTTTCAGTGTCAGGAATTAGGGAAGTAAAACGTTGACATGTCTTATGCATAAACTCTGAATGAAGATAATTGAAGTTCCCAGTATTATAGTGAATAAAAGACTATGTTAAGTCTCTCTCTACTGCTCTGAGTTTCTCTCTGCATTTCTAGTCCGCATACTGTTACAGTTCATAGGAACATGCCTTGTGTGAATACAACTGAAGCAGTGTGATAAGTGAATTTCATCCAATCACTTGCCTCCTTTTTCCCCCACAGATAAAAATAATTATAACTGACTGGTCATGCTCAGCTTTTCGTTTTTTCTTCATAAGCAGAAACACAGTTGTACAACCAGAGCTGGTTTATTTTCTATTTTTTAAATGCTGATCCACTGAAACAAATGATCCAGGGAAACATCTTCTTTTTCAGTGAGCTTTCACTCAAGCACAGACTATTCTGGAAGGATGTTTAGGATGCCACCTGTGCCACACCTATATTTTGGGGAGTGTTTCACCTTTCATATTGCTTCATATTGGATTCTCCTTCTCTGGAGATATTCAAAGCCCACCTGGATGGGGTCCTGTGCAGCCTGCTGTAGGTGACTGCTTCGGCGGGGTGGCTGGACTGGATGACCCACAGACGTCCCTTCCAACCTCTAACCTTCTATGATTCTGTGATTCACAGAGAGACGCTTGGCTGTAGGAGGTTCAGAACCACATCTCATTTTTATTTTGCAAACGAAGTTGAATTTTGCAAAAGAAATTGAATTAAAATACATAAAATTTCCTGGGGTGTGTGTGGAGGGGATGTTTGGTTTTGTTGGTTTTGGTTTTGATTTTTCCTTTTAAAATATTCTTAGCTTTCATTGTTCAGGAGAGGTCAGATTTTCCTGTAGAATGCAAAGTGTTGGCTACCAGTGACATGTTACCATGGCCTTGTCTGTTAAGCCCGTGTTTACATTTGGAGACAGGTTCTCAATTTGTAGCTATCAGAGCCTATGCAAAGGAAGTGACTATCAAGATTTGTAGAAATCAATCTCTCTGTAGACAGCGCTGCCGGGGGGTTTATGTAGCCATAGCTGTAGCAGGTTTTGCATATCCGCTGGTAGTAGTATCATGGGATTTGCATTCTCAGCAGCTCAGGATTTACATATTTGTGATGGCTGTATTGTGGGATTTGCATAGGATTCTTAAAGCATAGCAGCACAGAGGATTTTACCGACACCATGCAGCGCTAACACTCATAATGTGAGTCATTGGCTTTCTAAACAGGAAAAAAATGTTACAAGAGAAATGCCAGACTGCGCTCAAAATCTCTCACATAAGCACCAGAAAGATGAGGAGTGAAATTCTGCCCACAGTGAAGCTCCTGGGAGCCTTGACATTACCTTCAGGAAAGGCAGGATTTCACCCCAGATTCTGATCTAAAGCTTACCAGTCCTCAGTGAGCTCTCCCAGGCTTCCTCCAGTCTCTCTTTAACTGCCACCTGCCTGGGAGCCACGGCATGCAGGAGAACAGATGGGAGAAATTCCTTATCCGAATGGATTGATACCTGAAACAGAGGCTATATTTGTCCGGGGATGGTAGCCCTTCAGTCTGAGTCACCCATCCTTGTGTGGGAGTTTGGCGGCTGTGTTCCTGAAGAAACACGTTTCATTCTGCAGGGAGAAGTCACCCTTGCTGCCATCTCATCTTTTCTGGAAATGTCTAAGACGGAAATGAGCTCACTTCGAAACGGGTGCCCAGCGCTGTTACAGCCTGTTTTGCTGGTATTGTCTAGGGGGGAAACATTTTGTCCCACACCAGGGACACCAGGCAGAGGACACAGCAGCTGCTGTTTTAGGACTCTAGGAATAAATGCAGAACTGCAGCACAGTACAGGAGCAGCATACAGTGTAACTTGTGCTGGGCACTGCCCGGGTTAATCACCAGAGCACCCTGGCAGCTCCTGGCATGGCCTCAGCTCTGCTTTCAGCTTGTAGACTGCTCCTGAGGAGGAGCTGCAGAAATGGTCTGGGTTTCTCTTTCTGTCTGTAGCACACACTGGAGAAAAATCTGTTAGTCCATTTAGGTACCTGCTCCATGTCTCCTCTTTGCTGTGTCCGAAGGAGTCAGATGACAGGAAATTATTTTACTCTTCCCCTGCTATCAAAGTGCCGGAGGTTAAGCTGCCTCAGCAGGCGCTTGTGCAATGCCCACGATTGGTTAAGGAACCCAGTTATTCATTAAGAAACCTCTGTGAAAAGTGGCCATGAAGAACAAGTACCCAGTGATAAAACTGGCTGTGATCAAAGTGTATTGCTGTACCATGTTGAACAGGCCTTTCTATTCCTTAATGAAAATATCATTGTTTCATAATTTCTAGGATGACCCCATAGCAAGAGAAGAGAGCAGGGACAGGATCAGCTCATCTTCACTAGGTGTGAAACACAAGGGGAGGAAGGGAACAGAAATCGGTAGTTAAAATGTAGTTTCTGGACGAGTGTGTTCTCAGGTACAAAAGAGGAGCCGTTCCCCCTGCTCCGTGTAGCCGCAGAGGGTGCACGGGATGGCCGCAGGGGTGAGCAGGGCAGATGTCTCAGTGCGGAGAGAATCCAGCAGCCTCCATGAGCAGGAACTGCTCTCCCCGTGTGCACTGATCTTTGGCTTTAAGCATTCTGAACTTCCTAAAGGCTTTTTTTCCTCTTCATAAGTGAAGAAAATCAAAACCAAAGCAGATCAGTTCTACGGGATCAATTTTATTCAGTTCTTTTGTTGTGCGAAAATGGGGATTGGGAAAAACGTGGCTGGGTGATTAGAGAAGCAAAGAAAATGGAAGGAAGAGGAAAGGGAGGTGCTTTTACTCCAAGCTTGCAAACTCTATGTGTTCAAAGTGGCGGAGAGGTTGGTGTGTTGTCCCTGTCCTAAGGCAGTAAGGACTTTATTGTGTGAAGCTGCTTAAGAAATTTCATTGAACATTGTTCTTTGCCAGTGAAGAGCTTATGTGAAATGGTACTTAGGCTTTGAGACAAATGCATACTGATGCAATTTTGTTGGTAAATCAAGTGTAGCAAAATTAGGCGGCTCTGTTCCTGCTAAAATTGAAAGAAAGTTGAAGGACATCTACACATTAAATGCTTAATGCCATTATAAATGTGAAGGTAAAATTTATCACTGTTGAAACTACACAAATTAGGAGAACTGTACAAATGATTTTCCCTTATGTGTATACCATATACTCTACAAGTGGCTCTCTCCACATGCACATATCTGACACTCAGAGGTTATTTCTTCAGATTCATAGTTACACTAGATTTCAGGAGTTGATACATGTCAGCAGATAATTACTCTCAGCTCCTTGGAGCTACCCTCTGAAAACAACAAACTACTAATGTCTGTTCCCATAGTCACACTAGTAATTTTGTGCCCCAAACATCAACTGTTTCTTTGGAGAAAAAACTGCTTGTACTAAAAAGACAAGAATTTCAGTAAGAAGTTATTTCCTCTCCTTTTGTTCTTCAAGGTAGGCTTAATCTATCTTAAATATGCTTTTGATGGTGTCTTTCTAAACCATATTGCCATGTCGTACAGGCTGGCCAGGATGAAGTCTGAGACAAAGAACAAACGGAAGGAAAGGGAGCAGGTGGACAATACGAAGTCTCAGGTGAAAGAGATGAGAAAGGAGGCGCTGGCAATTCAGTTCAAAGAGTGGACGGTGGATGTCGGTGGCAGAATACCGGTTGCACTGGTAACTAGGAATGATCCCTGTTAACACACTGCTATGATTGTTCCAGAGGAGCAAAAGGAAGGCTCTGATAGTGCCGTCTGCCCTGGCACGGCAGCGTGGAGCACAGGGATGGGGAATGGCACTGACATCCCTTAGGATTAGGATGCAGGTCACTGTCTACTACTTAACCTCACCAAGCCCTGATTCCCCACAAGCACGTGGAAGGATTGTGGTGCATTCTCCACAGAGGTCCTGGGAAGCTAAATGCCCTGTAAGGTATTCAGACACTCCTGAGGTTGTTGGGCACATACCTCATCACTGGATGTCCTCCTCTGCAGCTGGTCATCCCTCAGAATCCCCTTGAAAAGGTCCAGGGCAGCCACTCTTGCTCTCCTGTGTCATCTATTAAATCTTCTTTCTTCCTCTGTGTCTCATACAAGCTGATACTGCAGCTCATAAAAGATGAGATCTGCAGTAATTGTAACACATCTCTCGGTACAAGCATCTTTCTCACAAGTCACACAAGGCCCCTAGGAAATTGTCCTGTGGTCACACACAGCACAACATGTAGACGAGGTCTACATTTAACAGGGACCACCTGTGTGTGGTAAGAAGCATTGCTGGCCCATACGACTAATTATTCTGGGTGATTTTAGTAATTGCCTGCTGTTGTCTGCGTGAAACAGGCCTTTGACTGTTACCTTGATTTGTAGGTTCAGAGTGCTCTGAGGTCTTTTCTGGATGTCATTGCTTCTACTCCCATGGATGTGAGAGAAGGTAAGTTTTCAGTGTGTCTCCGTTAGTTTTATTTCTGTGTTCTGAATTCTGATGCAAACTGTGAGCAAGCAGTGAATGGATTTGACAATAGAGAAAGAATCTGTAAGGGTAGTTACACCAGCTAGGATATCAACTACAAATCTTCAGACAGATTGGAAAGACTGAACCAGCATGTGGTTCATTAATATGATCTTGAAAAGCGTGCAAAGAAGTTTAAAAAAATCTGTCAGAGAGTTGGAAAGATCAGATGCAGGCCCTTGCCACTTATGTCCTGCATTATCCAGACATTGCCGTGTGCTTGTCACGATTTTTAAGAACCACTGTTAGAAACTCCTTTGTCTACTCTATCCCCTGGTGTTCCTTGTCTCATGGGAGGTCTTGGAAATTCCATGGACAGCCTGGCATACTGGAAAGTATGGAGGAAAGGCAGGATCAAAAAAATTAAAGTCTGACAGTGTTGTTACATTTTATGGTTTCAGGGAAAATGCTGAAGCTTAGCTAATGCTCCACCAAATCACACATCTTGTCTAGCCGTTCCCTTTGCCAGTCCCAGCCGTGCCAGTGACACACAGCACAAGCGCCTCTGTATTGGAGCACTCAGCATAGAAAGGATTTCCATAATTCCTGTCCACTTTCTATAGCTTACACTTGACCTCCCGGAATAATGATAATTGAGTAGATAGAGCCAGGAACACTGAAGTGGCAACATACAGCCTGCTGCCAGCCCTTTACATTGATAGCCTGTAATGATCATCAATAATAACAAATCTGCCTTTGCTGGAAGATGGGATGATGAGCGGGGAACCTCCAGAGTGCATTTCTGCTTGCTGCTGGAGTCACCCCTGTCTAGAGCTTGCCCTTGCTCAGCCCTTTCTTTATTATGGAATTGTTCCTCTGAGTAATCGTCCTATATTGGCAGCATTGTGTGAATGCCAGGCGCAGCCCTTGTGCTCCTGCTGTGGTGGCTGTCGTTCTCCTGTGGGAACAGATGCAAAACTGGGAAGGAAGTTTCTGCCCAAATGCTTGCTCTACAGGTGCTGGAAGTGCTTTATGCCATGTTTCACTAACAGCGTGGCTCCATTTCCTAATGTATTTAATCATTCAATATACAGAACATTAAGCTTTGTTTTGTACTTCAGTAAATATAATGTACAGTTTAGGAATGTCTTGAGCAATGAGAGATAAATGCATTTTATGGTGTATTTTCTCATTACTCCTGATATATTGTAGAAGAAAGAACAGAAAAATAATCCTAACAGAATTAGCATGTCTGTCCTCAAAGACGTCGTTCAGAAATCTATGTAGAAATTTGCTGTGTCTTCTCAGTTCCATTATAGCAGCCTGGAAGCTGACCAAAAGATAGTTTTGAATATTATCAGAAAAAACAGAGCTTCTTGGGAAAATTACTGTGATTTTCAGATTCCACTCTTGCAAAGCAGAATCCATGTCCGCAGAATTTTAAGGCAGTTTTATCTGTTTGTTAAATCAAAAATAATTTCTTCCCTCACAGAATTAGTTGTAAGTACCGTTAAAATCATTGCACTTTGCACCAACATATGTCAAGAATAAATATGACCGCACAGTTCTGAATAGGTAAGTGCAGATTGTCAGCAAGAGAAATATGTAAGGATCAGATTTAGATAGCTCTCTACAGTCAGATGCTTCAGCTATTGTGTAGGATAACCTCAAATAAATGTAATCCAACATGAGAAGAAAGTTAATGTAATATACAGTGTGCAAAAAAATGTGTAACATATGCAAAATGACAACTGTTTGCTTTCTAAACCAATATGCCTTCATTTTTTACTAGCAATCTATGACAGGAAGCTGGAAATCGTAGACACATTGGAAAAAAAAGTAAACATAGATGAATTCACAGAGGTGAGAAATTAAATAAGAGCATCTGATTCAGAATATGATGTTTACCACAAAGTAGTAGCATTTTCCTGGGGACAGCTAAGATGAGTAAGTGAGGGGCTCCACTTCTCCAGCATCCCAGGTAACGGGTTGTATCAGGGCATTTCACGTTCCATCTCCATACCCATCCTTCGCTGTCACAACGTTCTGGCCAGCCAGGGGGAAGCATACTGCCTTCCTCAGAGCTGCAGCCTGTGCTGCTCTCTGAGACCGAAGCAGTGTTTTTTAGGACATCCCTCTCAATCCCCTTCTAGAATGCCAAAGCCCCGAGTCACCTGTGAATTCCAATTTTGCGTTAGCTGCTCAAGGGAGGTTCTGTGTCCCAATATAACCATTAGCCTGAGGGAATTAGTAATGTCCCCAAAGTATTGTTATTTCTGATGAAGTTCTGTTAACCATAGAAAAACCTAACAAGTGATGAACTGGGATGACAAGTGCTACCATTTTTGCCCTGGACTATTACTGGCCTGAACCATAACCAAACTGCAACAAGTGTCATAAATGTGCATGAAGCATAACCAGGCTGAAAAATATGCACTTTTAAAACAAAATCTGACATTGATAAATATCAGAAGTGTGCTTTTAACTCACCATAATCAATAAATGTAGTTGGAAGTTTCATCCCATTACTCTACTCGTCATCAATTTGAAAACAACGAAATCAATTCAAACTATATTTACTGAAAAACTCTCCAGGCCAAGACTTTACCAGCCTTTTCTACCTATGACAGAGCTAAATTTTATGGCTGAGCAATTAAACCTGTAAAAAGGGATGTTTAGAATAGAAATAATGACAGACCCTCAACTGCAGCAGTGCTAGTGGGTGCTGTTACAGTAATTAAAAGCAGAGTATAAAACAGCTGTGCAGAGACTAATTTCAAGCAACCATGTGTGATTTTTGTGCCGCCTTTGCTCTCAGGAGACTCACATGTTCAGTATTTTGCACAGAGATGCATTTTTGTGATAACTTGTTGAAGGCTTTTTTAAGCATGAAATGTGGTATTTTTACATTTAATCTCAGAATAACTGCATTTAATTAAGAAAACTATCATGGATAATGGGAGCCCAGAGAATTGCTTTTGTCACTGAAATGAAGCCTCAATTCATAACCCCTATGGTAGATGTATAAGCACTGAATGAATTCATGCTCCATTAGCATTAGAAAAATGTTTTAAAATATATTTTGTGTACTCTTTATTTTAACTCAATTAAAGATATGACAACAGAGATCAGAAGTACAAAAGACATGGACTGTCAAGCTGTCTGATTTACCGGCCAGTGCAATGTTGTTCTCGGAATATATTCTCTGATGCTTTTTCCAGTCCAGTTTTAATTGAATCAAATGATGAAGCTTTCATCACTTCCCTTGGGAACTGCTCCATAATCACAGGCTTTGCTCTCAGGATAGGACTGCTTCTAATCCTGAGCTACAATTTACGTTTGCTCATCAGTTTGCATCATCCACCAAAACCAGAAAGAGGGTTGATCTCTCTCCACACTGGTCTAGGCCCTTTCACATGTGGAAAGCATTGCTTTTTAATGGACCTTAAAATTAAATGGCAATTCCCCCCTCTCCCTGAATTTAGTGCAGCTTTGGGTTACTTAGAGGCTGTTAGAAACTCGGTAGAGAGACCTCACACGTTGTTGTTGTTGGGTTTCAGGGGGTTTTTTGGACATGCAAAACAGTGGCTCTTGTATTTTTACATCCTTCGTGACAAGCTCATGGGGTCATTTATATTAAAAGCGTTTAAATCCCAGAGACCAGTCCTTAATAGTTTATTTCTCACGCTTTGCACTCCAACATGCAGAACCCCCAGCAGTCTGACACCAAGGGAAATACTCACATTGTCGTACAGGTCAGAATCAGGCTTTAAAGGTGAGATTATTTTTCATGATTGCGTGTAGCTTCCTTGATTTCTATTGAGATCAGTAGGGACAAAAAGCAAAGATCCATTGTCATTGATGATAATGTGTTCACAAACTACAGCGAGGTCTCACACTGGATAGCAAGAAGGAGGTATGTCAGCTTTCTTCTGATGGGTGTCAAAATCTCTTGGTTAATAATAAATAAATGTATGCTTAGTATGTGTACAGTACTTCACACAGTAGAGTGCTTTACACACATCAGCTAAGAAAAGCTTCTGACTCTACGATAGTTGCGCCTGCCCACATAGCCAAACATACACTTCTAAAAAAAATTTCTGTGGAGCTGTTAGACAGCAGTATTAATACGCAAGCCTTTGGATGTGTCATCGAGATGACATCCAAAATAACAAGCTGCTTGGCCAACCTGCCTCCTCCCAACTGCTGTCATCATTAAGGTTCATCTGTCACAGGGCTCTGGGTTGTAATAGCTCTGAAAAGCAAGTAGATGCACGTAGCCCAGATCTGCCACCTTCTCTCCAACCCACCTACATCCTCTCTTTTTATGCTGAAATGCAGAAAAAACACACATTGCATTAGAGTTCTTCTTTCCCACCAGCCACCCCTCAGGCTGTTCGCTGCTGCTTTTCTGCTCTTCCTCTCTTCTCCACTTGTCCCATATACTTCGAAATTATGCAATATAGACATGAATAATAATAACATATTAATATTTCAGTTTATTAATGCCTGTGCGGCATTTCAACAAGTCCCAAGATGTTCTAGCACTTATGTCAGGTATCCATACTCTAAAAATGGCATAATGGGAAACATTCTGTGTGTTGCAAATCCTTGCTTTTAACTGTATGGGTTCCCTGTTATGGTGGTTGGCTCCAGAAACCTGCTGTAATAATTCAGCACAGGCTTTGGAATTGTGGTTTGTTCTGATGGCCATTATTATTTATGTGATGCACACCACATTTTTAGAACCATATTGCTTTTGCTCATAAAAACCACATGGCTATAAATCCAAAGTGTTAAAGTGTCTCCAAGGCTAGAACTTAAAATAAATCTCGAGTCAGTAGTATTCCCAGTGTCAGAGGACTTAGGTGACAGCAGGCTCATTTTCAAAAGGTTCTTTCCCTGTTTTATTGTATCCAGACTGGTTGTCTAAACACAGAAGTTGTGGGCAATGGTCATTTTGTGGCATTAGAGAGTTGAGTGACTGTCAGTTCTGCAAATACTAATGGCTCAAAATGCCTTCTTGGGAGTAAATTCAGGGACACTAAATGCTGCAGAAAACCGTGGAGAACTTACATCCTCCCTGAGATAACCTAACTTAAGCAATGACATTTCATTGGAGGGATTCTGACCCAGCATCTCTGAACCACCGGATGTGATAAGTGACTTCTGGGCCGGGAAAGGAACTGTTCAGTATGCATTCGTGCAGTGCCTAGCGCAGCGGTGTCCCAGGCTTGCTTGGAGAATATTGCTGCTTCCGGAAGAAAGAACAAAGTAGGCAGTGTAGCATCTATGCGCCAAGCCTGCATTACGTCATCAAATTAAACTACAAATTCCTATATGTTTCATTGCATGCAATAGATTTGTAAGAGTTCAAATAAAGGTGAAAATATTTGAAGAAAGCTAACCATTTACATTATTGCTTTCTCTTCATAGTATGTCCATTCCTACACTGAAGATTTTTCAAATGACATGTTCCAAGAAATCCTGAAGCATCTCTGTCAGTGTGCTGGTGACTTCCAAGAAACGATAAGACATGATATGCGGAGGCAAATGTTTACTGATCTCTTCTTAGACTGTGATTATGGAAAGGTAGGCAAAGCAGCTCTCAACCTAATTTCAATATGGTGGTGCTTCCAGTGTGGTATTTCTCTGGGTCACTGCCTTTTTTTTATTGTTCTTGACTCCACATACTCCCTTTGTCCTTACTCAGCATTATTTTAGAGGACAATAGGTGCTGCACTGTCTTCAAATTCATAGTTCGTAGTTCTTAGACACAGAAATAGCCAATAGCCTTGATGGCTAATGATGTAATATAATGACTCTGGGCTGAAGTTTGATGATTCTGGAGAAGAAAATAACCATGAACTTCACTACTTCTGGTCATCACCTGTGCTGACAGCACCTTCAACATGTTTGGGTGCTAATTTGTCTATTCAGCCATGCTTCAGAAAAGATAACTTGATATAGATTGACATTAGCAAATGTGTGCATCACTACAATAGTAACATATATTGTGTTAATTATGTTGCATTCATTCATATACCTTTAGGGCTTCTATCAATAAATGTCATAATAGTTTAAATTGAAAATGCGAAATAATCTACCTTTACAACCTCTCTGAGAAAAGTACTGTGAACTTCAGCCACAGTTTATGGGCAGGAAATTAAAATACAGTAAGTCAGTTACAGAGCTGGAATTGGAACTCAAAAGCCATGATTTGGTTTTCAGCAGCTCTAAACTCTATCTATCAGATGCTGAATAAACCTGTATCCCCATTTAAAAAAAAAAACAAACCAGCTAGATTTATTAGAAAACCAGTAAATAGTAGGAGCTGAAGAATCAATGGCATAAGCTGTTGCGAAAAACTTGGGCTTCATCCAAAAATTATGGTGCTTGTAACGAGTAGCCTCAGTTAGCCAACTGCTGGCTACTACACAGCAAATGGTTGCCATAATCTTACAGTTTTCTCCCCTACATAAATTATATATTCCATCCAGCACTCTTCTAGTGATGTTTACAGCATGCCTACCCAGAATAAACTGTGCTCTACAATGTCATGCTAATAATGTCATTACCTCTAGGAGAATGGAATTACACAGCACGTTTGCACACCAATGGTCCGTTTTAGCGAATAGCAGGCAAGCTGCTGTTTCAGGGATGAGGAAAGAAATGTGTCTACTTCTCAGTTAGAAGACATTTCGTTTTCCTGTTGCTCTGTCAAGAAGAGCTATGATGGATCCTCCTGGGTAGAGTAATATATAAAGCCAAGTCTTATCTTTGCCATGCATTTTGAAATGATCCCTCCTTTCCCTTTCATGATTTAATGTGACTTTCTTCCTGTTATTTCTGTGGCAGTAGTCACCATCTCCACGCTACTAATCCCAGTGGAATCTCAGAGGCAAAGAGCCAAAAATGCTAGCCTAACATAACAAGAGTGAGCAGCTAGCAGCACAGACGCCACCGCTGCCCAGAAAAAAATGATCAGAGCACAAACATAGTTGCTGTTTCTACCCTCCGAGGTAGCCTTGCTCTCAAATTGAGTTCACTAAACTGTAGTGTGGACCATGCAGTTCTTTTAAACCTGACCTGGTTTCTTTTGTATAGCTCTATTAGGTCCTGCTGTACTGTGCCCACAGGGAAGATAAAAGATGCAAACTAACCCAAGGACTTCCACCACTTGAATGGGATCCATTACCTGTAGTACTCATTCTGCAAAGCACAGCAAAGCAGTTGTTTCAGTTCCTAATTTACATTTGTTTGGTAGCAGGCAGTTATTCCAGTCTGCATGGGGAGTGTGGCTGGCTGCCTCAGGGACTTGCAATTAGGGCCAGGGAGCTGAGAAAGCAGTGTTTAAATTACAGTCAAATTAGAAGGTATCCACATGATCATTATTGTGATTTCAAATGCATGCATCCAGAAGGATGGCAGCTCAGCAAGAACAGCCTGGGCTATACAGTGAAGCAGAAACTTTCCAAGATAATACCAGAACACAGTTGAATCACTGCTCTAATGCCCAAAAAGGCAAGAGCTCTGTGAATTTTTAGTTTATTGTCTCTCTGTGCTCACGTGCATCAATTATAATTTCTCAGAAACTGCATTAATTTTCAGGGATGCTTAAGCCTGGAGTCCTTAAATGTAACTAAATTTAGTCAGAGATGAGTTTTCAGTCTAATGAAGTTTGAGACACGTCTGATTAGCTTTCTTGCAGTACAGCAGCAACAGAGTCTGCTTTCTCATGACCTTTCATGAGCGTCTGTTCTTCCCATCTTGCTCGCTAACAAGCATGTTGTGGTGTTCGAGGTACACACATCACATTGCCAGAAAAACAATCAAGCGGTTAAACACTGACCTATCACTGATTCAGTGGCACGTCTGGTTTAGTCTGTGTTGCTAAAGGAATTACTCATAGATCACAGAGCGTTGCCGAAAACAACTGAGAATTATCACCTACCAATATCTAGGTGACAAAAAAATTGGGTCAACATGTTTCAACTCTCCAGCCACTAAAGTTGGCATTCGTTAAAAGTGGAGACAAGTTTGGGGCGGTTGTACAAACACAGATGGTCTGCTGTGATTTGTAGTGGGTGTTGTGCCTGTCCTGCCGACAAGCCTCCGTACGAAGGGCTGATGGGCAGGAACCATTCATCAGCCTCGTCAGTCACGCACAAAGTACAACAAAAAATGACCGTTTCTAGGAAATTTAGGAACCCAGAAAGAGCGTAACTGACTATAGGACCTTGGAAATGGTTGTCCTGTTGTAATGCTCCTTGTCTGCAGATATCTTTACTGCGACACGTTTGTCCCGAGGTAAGCTGTAATGAAAAGTATCCTGAGGTAACAGAGACCTCTGATAAAACAGCAAATCTGTGTAAATGGTAAATATGGAAACAAGGTGGAAAATATATCCCTAATTCATGTTAGGTAATTTCTTATAAGGAATTTACTATTTTCATATATAAAAATGAAATTATTTCATCTAAATCACAAAACTCTTCTAGAATCTGAGTAATCTAAATCCTCCAAGTGTATTATTTTAACATGAAAAAAAGTATCTGAATCCCCAAACAGCATTTTTATTTTCCTTTTAATAATACTTCATTCATTGATTTACCTTTTTAATAAAATACAGCTTTGCATTAGTGCTGCCAGCTTCAAGGCAACTGACAGATGATTGTGACAAGTAACAGCTGAGGAAATTTAAAGGGAAAATTAAATGTGTGTAATGGAAATGCTGAATGGAGAATCCAAATATTACACACTGATCTGGTAACATCTTCAGAAACATGTTCTGTGTTTGTATGTCTACTACATGGATGCAGAGCCCAATCTGATATATTCAACTGAAAAACAAACAGCCTACAGAAATGTTTGCTGGGGAGCATGCAAAATATTTGTGTATTAATGACAAGAAGATTAAGATACTGGGAATCAGGGCCTACATCTTTTAAGTTTAGGGCCAGAATTATGTGATGACATTTGTTGTTCCAAACCCACACACGGCTGAAATTCGGCTGTGATTTCTAGCAATTTTTTACCAGCACGAAAGAAGTTACAGGAGTCTGAAACACTACAACTGGACTGGATGACAGGTTTCTTTTCAGTTCTGATCCTTTCCTCAGAATTTGCAAAAACTCCCTGTAGAGGAAAGGTGTTGCTGTAACAGCAAATGTGATGTATTCACTTTGTTTTCCCTATTAGCTTCCTTGGGAGACACTTCACCAGGATGTGACGGGTATCTCTCAGTTGTTTTTGAATCCTCTGTTCCTAAACCTTGATGCCATTAATTACAATTTAAGATTATAAACAGCGCAGTCATCTTGAGCTCATTTCCAGAAAAAAGCGGCGAACTTCTTCCTTTATTTCTTCAGCCTAAGGGCAGGAAAAGTTCACAAGGAATTAATAGCTTGGTGAATTTTACATTTTGCAGTTTTGAATCTAAGAGCAAAACGTGAAAAGGAAATCAATAATTCAGATGGAAAGCTACTTGCTACAAATAACGAACTGCAGTAAATCTGTTCTCTAATTAACGACCATATTTCACTAACGGGAGGGAGATTACAAAGGTGACAGGACTGAAATAATGACAACAGGAATTCATCATAAAATGGAAAACTTGCAATCATTTAGACTTGCTTTACTTTTTAGACTCACAATTTCCTGATTGGAAATGACCCGTTTCATTGTCTTTTCCTGGTTTTATTGTCAGCATACACTCACCCTGAATACTAAGGACTTAAACTCTGTGTGTTCCTCTGCACTGGAATTACAGATACCCCTCTCACCTCTGTGGTCAAATGTGCATGAATTTTTAAAGGAAATTAGGGAGGTTGTCATAATAGCTCAGATTTTCAGACTAATATTTTCCCAGGTAGTTGCCAATACGTAATGCTTCAAAGGAAGTGATGGGGCGCAAAACCAAACTACAGTGTGCAGTCACTAACATAATACAGCACAGCCCATAATATGTGAAAATTCTTCCATAGTACTGTCAGGCAATCGCTATCTGTCTTGAAAGTGTGAAATGTTGAGGCTTTGATCTTTACATGAAGAAGTCCTTTGGCAGAAGCGCTTACAATCATCCAACTGTAATTTGTCAGGAATATGCAAGAGGATGTGCCTGCAAAGTGATACATAGGAGGAGCTCTGGCTAAGCCCAGAGTAGAAATTTTTGCTTCTTTGAAATTTGTACTGATGTTCTGGTTATGGATAATTTTCAATCACAGGTAATTCTTATCTAATGGTGCCTTGTAGGGCTGCAAATGTTGATATAAATCCCAAGAACCACAGGAAAATCCCAATAATTGTGATCTTTTTGCTAGGTTGGTCTCTTAGATAGACAAAAAATACTTGCCCTGCTGGTAGACTTCTATGACAGCAGCCCGGTGATCGCTAAGAGGGGACTCGGTAACCCGAGACAGTGTAAGTATATGGGATGTTTCAACTGTGGTTAAACGGTTAGGAGGTCACATGAGGTTGTATACTTAATATATGTTTTGTAAGTGTTACCAGAAATGGACAGAGCCTAAAAAAGGACCCAAATGAATGCTGTGACCTATACACCATGATTTGTAAACACATTTTGCAAACTGTAATGCTATGTTCAGAAATACTTCAGCATCCAAAGCTTTTCCTTCCTACAAAACTCTGAAGTACTTTTTGCATTAAAGAAAGACTACTTTTCCTGAAACAATTGCCCTTTCTTACTGGGCAATATTAGAAGTTACTTTTGTGTTTACTTTTGTGTTTACACTAAAATTTCTCCGGGAAAATGGAAAGATAAAGAAAAAACACAGAGAATCATCTACATGGAAGTAAAATATTTTTAAGATAGTGGACATTAATGAATTGCTAAGATCAAATGCAAGGCAAATTACAGCTTTGCTTAGTATGGAGAATTATGAAACTTGATATTTATTTCAAAAGAAATATGGTGTAATCCACCAGAACAAGCGCAGTTCTGTGCAGGCAAAGTCATTATTCTGAAGTTCTGTTTCTGAGATGCATGTTTGCAGCAGTTTGTATTTGCTAGGGAATACCTTTTTTCTTTAAATTTTCTAATGCAATACTAGAGGACATAAAACCAATGCAAACTATCAACTTATAATTTTTTTTTTTTCTATTTTAGGGCCAATAACTGAGCTGCAAGAGATTGATCTTGTGGATTTATGGGGAGGCCTTGAAGACCAGGAAGTTTGTGAGGAACTGAGTGAAAAGTTAGTCTTGTCTCAAACAGAAATTCCTGAGGGAGAGATTTCAGCATATCAGCCCGTGGGTGACAATAGACAATGTACATCTACAATGAGAACCAGTGTCAGAGAAGGTCTTTTTGAACAAATGGGCACGAGTGAAGCTGAGACTGGAGGAATTTCTAAGGAAGAAAACCAAGCAGCAGAATCAAGCAATCCTGAAGTGAGAAAGGAAGGAGAGGATGCTGTGTCAGTGGTGAAAAGCACTGATTTTGAAGCTAATGATTTGGATGGAGATACAATACATAGTGAGAAATTCAGTTTCCATGAAGACATCAATACTGAGAGGCAAACTGAGCCTGCAAGTGCAGACAGACAGGAGGAAGCTTTCCCAGGATCAGCCTCTGCTGGGTACAGTCTCAGTAGAGATGGAGAACCTGGATCTGAAAAACAGGTGGAAGAGGAATTTAGCCTGGGTAAAGAGCCTGATACAGAAACAAATAAGGAGAAAGATTATCATACCTCAGACAGAGAACCTGTCTCAGAAGGGCAAGTTAGTCAGGAGGAGAACAAATGGATTGCAGGGGCGACCAACACAATTTCAGGACCAACACCTGAAGCTACAACCATGACCTCAGAAGACAGAGCTGTGGCAGACATGGACATCATTGCTTCAAAACAGGGTGCTCCAGTTGCAGAGGTTGTGAAAGAAACTCCTGGAAGAAAAGAGAGTTTTTCTAGGCAGCCTGGCAGCCAGTTTGGCCAACAGACAAGCTCAGAGACAAGTCTGCAGGATGAGGACCTTCTGCAAGACCAGGGTAAAGGTAAAGCATTGTCCTTTATTCTGGCAGACCTTAATGTTTTTCAACATACACATCTGGACTGGTTTAACTATAGGTGTGTATTTAATCCATTTCAAAATTACTGAAAGGATGTGAGTGATTTCTGAATACACAAGACCATACGCTTTGATATCTTAGCGTGGTGTTTTCTGCTAAAGTTTCAGAGCGTGTTCCTCTCAGAGGACGGCAGGTGAGTCACTTTGCTGGTGATCTGTATTCAAGGCACTGAGTAGACACTTTAATTCAAGTAGGGACTTTCTGAAGCAGCAGCATTTTTATAACAATGAGAAACCTCATGTTCTGTTTCGCTCTGTAATATTAGCATAGCTAGACAGGAGCCTAAGCACATTAAATATAGAAAGGACTTTTAATAGTTTTTAGGCTGCGATTGCCCATAGAGACATATATTATGAGATCATATAGCAGGAACCTTTTCTTTTGATCTCTCACTGTGTTTCCAAAGGGCTATCATACTTCTTAATTGTGTACAAAGCCCTTGTTCTAGCAAGGCTGTGGTCCGGCAACTGTGTGTTTCCTAAGAGGTATTTAAGGACCAAACTCCTTGCTAGCACTCTGTGAATACACTCTTATGTCTCACATGTTAAAGCACTACAAGAACTGGGTCTACATTGCCAGAGCAGTCTAGTGACAGACTTGCTACGTAAAGGTCTGTAAAGCTGATAGTAGAGCCCATTGGTACCTACAGCTTTCTGTGGTAAACTTCCAGCATTCAGCACTCGCCTGTCATTCAGCCAGTCCCTGGATGCGCATCCTGCATCGCTTGGGCCATGCAGTACTTCAGAGCAGACTCCCACCCTGTTCTCGCAGAAACAATGGTCTGGTGGTATGATGCTCTTTGAGAGAAAGGTGGATGGAAACAAGGAAACTGAATACCATTTTGAACCTTGGAAAAGAATTTATCTTATTACTCTTGCTAAAATGGATATTTGTAGCTGGCTTAAGAAAAGTAACAATTACCAGGTGAATTTCAGGAAGTCGTATTTCCAGACGGTGAAAATAAATAGCTACTGATAACAAGGCTAACTCCAGAGACACAGAGGTAGATTTTACATATTAATCAGCTGGATGCTCAGACTAGTAAGCTCTGGTTCACAGAACATTTCTTTTTAAAATTGCAGGTCCAGCACACTCAGACAGACAGGATTCTCCAGCTAAAGCTAGCCAGGAGTTTGAAGCACCATGGTCAGGTGACTGCTTGTGTCAGCTCTTTTCATCTGCTTTAGAAATTACAGCTTGGATATACGTATTTAAAAGCTTTTAGAAAAGCTGTATCTTGTGTCTTTGCTAAAAGCTTATTATCATTACAAGGTATATTTTATTTTTCATCAGGTGACCTTCTGACTTGTGACCTAAGTTGCAGGTACAGCAGCTATGGAGCAACAATTCCAGAGGACTGGATGTGTGAGAACACGAGATTTCAAAGTATTTGGTCACAAAGTTGTGTGTTCACTTGGGCACATAGTGGCTGGCAGTGTCTGCAGACATGCCACTACTGCTGCAAGCTGAAAGTTTGGGCAAGAATATAAACACTAATTCCTGAAGCTGACTTCAAGACAAAAGCAGTGCAGTCTTTGTCTCAGAAGGCCACTTGCTGTGTAACAGTAATTTCAGCTCACCTGTATTCAGTGATTTGAACTGGTTGTATGATAGCATCCACGCTAGACTGGAGCATAAATCTGAAGTGATACTATTAGAAAAGTATAAATAGATTAAGGCCTTTAGTCAGCATGGAGTCAGTGGGCATCCAGCCTTACTTTCACTGGGTAGGCAGTGCAGGATTCAGGACCGTGTTGGTATCTGCCACGTGGCTGGCTTTAGGGCAGCATTTGGCTTCCTGCGACACACTGTGCTGTCTGCCTTTCAGACTTACGTCCCTTCATGGCAGAGATTCAGAACCGTTGGGCTGCTTGTACTAGGAGTGCCTTTGATGAAAGCTGCCTCAACCTGCCACAGTTTGTACAGCTCATGGAGACATTTGTTGGTGAAGACATTTCTCTGCCTACTGTGAAGAGGCTTATTGCATTTATCAAAGAAGAATACAAACAGACAGAAGAGGAAAAAATGGAACAAGTAAAAAAAGTAAATATTGATAAGTTTTGCTGATCCCATGTCCAAACAAAAAACAAGCAAATGCCTACAGACACTGACAAAGTCAACTTTTAATCTCATGCTGGCAGAGCTATTCACTTGCAGCCTTGTATTCTCTCTTTCTTCAAGAAATCTTTCACCCCTTTGTTTTCATATGGATCCTCCCTCCCTAGCCCTCAGCTCTAGAAGTGATGACAGCCTCATCCTTTAAGAGGTTGTCTGTCTGTTCTGGAGCTGCATGCAGTGACACGGCAGGTTGACAGTCAATTATGAAAGAGCTCACAACATTCCATTCTGCTTATTCACCTTTATAATAGCCAAGAACCTGATCCCTGGCCTACTGCACTGGTATGTATGTATGAGGTTGTGGATGTTTTGGGGAGGATTTTAAAACAAGAGTGTTTGTTTTTGCTGTGTGCATGGCTGTATGTGAATATGCACATGCTTCACATTTAAGCTGTAAGGTGCTCCTACCATGTGTATTCCCCTTCAGCAATATCTTCATGGGCAGCATCAGGGTGTCCCGTATCAATTCAGAGTACAGATAGATTTCATGGTGGGTCTGTCCATAGTAGCCTCTCTAGCTGCATTTTCCTTAGACTTCTTTCCAGTTTCCCTCTGTGCTGCTGACCTAATTTGGATGAGATATTGGATCTGATGGCTTTACTGTCCTCATGCTGAACACAACACACACTGCCAGTATTTTGACCTTTGAGAGGATTCCACTCCAGCCATTTATCACTGTATGCTGTGCAAAGAACGGGTTTAAAGGACAAACTGTACATGCATTTGCTTGGAGCCCCCACACTTCAGGGCAGCACCAGCAAAATATCAATGCATGGAAGTACAAACTGTCAAATCTTTGGGTGTTACTAACAAGGCTGTGGTTAGTTCTTGCTGCAAAGACATTTGTATACTGGGAAACTTACACTTACCTGAGTTGATCTCACCTTAGATCCAGCACAGGCTTCATTTCTTCACTGTGAAATAACAGTCTGCAGTGCTGATTCTGCCTGGTAAAACTGAACTGTCAGCTGTGTTTAGTGTTTTCAGGTATCTCCCAAATTTAATGATTTATCTCAAAGTCTGAGCTATGTATTTACAGATTTGGCCTGACCCATAGGAAATACTGTATTTTCCGTATTTGGGTAGACACTGAGCATCAGTATCCAGGAATTATCAAAGAGCAGCTGTTCCTCTGTTGTAGGTTCACCGCAACTCTTACTTGGCCCAACGGAAACTGCTTTTGGAGGCACTTTTTGAGAAGTGGGACAACAATGCGTGCGGGTTTCTGGACCTGGAAGAGGTGGATGCTGTTCTAAGCACATTCAAGGAAGGGATGGAAAAAGAGGCCTTGAGGACGGGTAAGGAGAGATCTCTGCTCTGAGAGAACAATGTCAGCACAGTAGGCCTTGAACCATTCGATGACAGTGCTAATGAAGTTGTTGGCAAGCACCACTTATTGTCTGTCTTTGCAAGCAGTTGTAAGCATACAAGGTATGATGTATAAACTGAAAAGGAATAGTTATCCAGAGCTACTTGTTAATGCATAGCTCCATCCTCTCCTCCTGTGCGAGACTCCTCTGTGACAGATTCCCAGTCAGAGAGGTAGCCCAATGCCTTCATCACATATTGTGATGTGTTGAAAAATTATTTCAGCTGTAATATGCAATATATATAGTTATGATATGGCAGTGAAAAACACACATGAAGCTTCAGGACACATTTTGCATTTTTAGTCTAGCCTGTCTGTGTTATCCAGGTATAGATACATTCTACTGTGCTATCTGCAGGAACATGTGTCATAGGAGAGAACACCAGCTTTCCTTATGGGGCTCAAATAGCCTTTAGTAATCCACACTGTTACACAGCTCTCATGAATTAGATAGCAGCTTGGAGTCTCACTTCTCTGTTGGTTCATTTCTCTGAATAAACTTAGCAAATTTGGTCCTTGACAGAGTAGGCTTGGGTCAGGCAGAAGTGCTGCAGGTCCACCTGGACCTGTCTGGCAGCCTCATACATATTAACATGTGGGCATTAGGTGCTCTGAAATAATGTATTAGCAGTGAAGAACATGTCTGCATGCGTGCTTGGGTGGAGAGGACTGGTTTATTCGTCTCCACGCATATCTTCATGTTGCTTGTTCTGCCAGATGTTACTGAAAATGGCTCATTTTGGCAGCAACCAAAATCTCTTTATTCTTTAGCTCACTTGAGGCAGCTGGTGGGGTGGGAAGCGCACCAGCATGCTATAGTTAATAATCTCCAGGCTGCACAGCCGCAGAAGAAACTGGCAGTTTACAGCTCTCGTATTCAAAGCACGCCAGAACACACTACAGAAATATGGAAGGACATGGTCCTTTCCATGAAGGGCTCATAAACTAAAGGACAAATAACTAGAAAGATAGCATAGCAAAATCAATACCACATACACGCAACATAAAACTATTTCTAGCAGCTTCAACCTAATCTCTCAAAGCCATCACAGAATAAGCAGGTTTGAAGGAAGGGTTCACAGACATCGCACTCCTCCTGGATATGAAAACACAGGGTAGAATTATTTGATTTTCCTTGCAAGTGAAAAGCGTAACGTTACAGATGTAATGGAACAATAATTCATTAGGCTGTGGCTCAGTAATGAAGGAACTGATCATGCTGTGTTCAACCCTGTGTGTATGTATTTCTTCAGCTCTTTCTTCAAAGACAGGAAAAAGTGGAGGTGAAAAATCCAAATATTCTTATACCATAAAAAGAAATTCTCTATCCTAGTTCTGTCAGCAAATCAGAAATTAAATTAAAAACCCCTGAATGTTCTTCAGGTGATGGTCAGGATAAGACAGCATGAACAGTCAGCTCCACCACGACTGGGGCCAGTTAGTACTTGCTACTTCTACAGCTGAGTGCTAAAATGCCCCCTGACTTCAGCGGGGGAAGGAGGCGGCTCTCAGCTCCCGTAAACACCGGTGTCTGGGGTGCCCTGGGAGGCCATCGGG